ACCCATTACGCGCATCAAGGTACGATGCGCGTTCTTTGCTCGTGCTTGCACCCTCGTCGCCAACCGACCTCAATTGCTCGCCCGATTCCTTTAGCTCTCCCGACGGCCATGGATCCCATCCATCCAACCCAATACAATCACCAGCTCGCCAAATCCAACCATCCTCCATTCTACTCTTACCTTGTCTTCGAGCCTCCATCTTGCGAACTCGCCTTTTCCTCGCATAAGGCTTACACCAACACTTCTCTTCTTTAGCCTTCGCCTTGCCTTTCCTTCGAGCTCGTTTGGTCTTGCGTCTCTTAGGATTAAGTTTAGCTCGTGGACCACATCCTTTCGGCCAATCCCTCACACATGATGGCCGGTAAATAGGACTAGATGGCTCCTCCAACATATTTTCTAGCCAAATATCGAGACCATCGCCACCTTCATCCTCCGACTCGCCTGGCTTGATGACCACTTCCGTATCATTGCACCCGCGCATATAGCGCGGGGCAGCGCCCAGTCCAGCGTCTGCGTTGCGCCAGCGCACGCACACGCCTCAGTCAGCTCGCAGTCGCGCCCAGTCTGCACCAGACATGTCCAGCGGCACGCCAGTGCGCGCCAGCATGCATGCCCGTGCTCATCACGGCCAGTGCAGCCATGCCCGCAGCCAGCCAGGCAGCGTGATGACGGATCGTGTCTTTACTCTATTTCCGGGTTGTGAATAAACGCGCACTAGGGCCTTCGTTTATCCACGATAGGTGTATCTAACAGACGCACTATCGGCCTTCTCCTAGACACTATGACTTCAAGACGCTCTAATGGCCTTCTCTCCGACACTGTATGTAAACACGCACTAACGGCCTTGTATAAACACACGTAAGAACATAAGTTCCCCCTCTATGAGATTCACTCATCAATTCTAAGACTCAACATGTTTATTAATGAAGAGGTACATGGGTATTTATAGGTGCAAAAACAAATCTAAGCCTAACTATACTAGATCTCCTAAATCTTGCAATAATAGAAATCCTATAAAGCAATAAAATTCTATTACTACCAAATAACTAATGCTTGGCTTGCACACCAAGCAATTCTAGAATGCTCCCAATCTTTCGGCCACCCTATCGCACTGCCTTCCATTCGTGCGCGCCGACCCTCGGCTTTTCTAATCCTCGGCGCGTGAGGTATCGCGCGCCTCATGTGCCCCGTACGCGCACGCCACCTCTCCAGCCCTCTCGCCTAGACCTTCGGGAACTAGGACTCGCGCGCGCCCCTCACACGTGTACGCTGTTGCGCGCGCTTCGTTTGTGCCGATCATCTCGCGCGCGTACTCGTCATCGCCCAGCATTCCTACGCCCGCGCGGATTGGGTCATCCGCGCTTGTCCCGCACTTGGGCGCTGTCGCGCGCCCATCGCCGCTGCCGCCTACATCCTGCGCGTCCCTGCCACCTGTACGAGTGCCGCGCACGCCCCTCATGTCCGTGCCGCTCGTGCCGTCGTCCCATGCCTCGCACGTTGCCTCCAGCGTCCATGCGTCCCGCTCCTCTACCGCGCGCCCTCGTGCACCCGCTGCACTGCGCGTCCAGCCGTCCCTGTGGCCCGATCGCCTACCACGCACCCACGTATGCCCGATGCCATCCGCGTGGCGCTTCCCTCCGTTGCCGATTCTTTCAACGCGTACCATCGTGCGTTGCTCGCGTCCGGCACCTCGTCGTCGCTCGCCCATGCATTGTTTCGTCCCTTTGACCCATTACGCGCATCAAGGTACGATGCGCGTTCTTTGCTCGTGCTCGCACCCTCGTCGCCAACCGACCTCAATTGCTCGCCCGATTCCTTTAGCTCTCCCAACGGCCATGGATCCCATCCATCCAACCCAATACAATCACCAGCTCGCCAAATCCAACAATCCTCCATTCTACTCTTACCTTGCCTTCGAGCCTCCATCTTGCGAACTCGCCTTTTCCTCGCACAAGGCTTACACCAACACTTCTCTTCTTTAGCCTTCGCCTTGCCTTTCCTTCGAGCTCGTTTGGTCTTGCGTCTCTTAGGCTTAAGTTTAGCTCGTGGACCACATCCTTTCGGCCAATCCCTCACACATGATGGCCGGTAAATAGGACTAGATGGCTCCTCCAACATATTTTCTAGAAAAAATATCGAGACCATCGCCACCTTCATCCTCCGACTCGCCTGGGGTGATGACCACTTCCGTATCATTCCCTTCCTCTTCGAGACTTTCCTTGTCCTCAAGGATTAGAAAATTCAGCTCTCCTTCATCTTGATGGTCATGAGCATCGATCACCATTGCTTCTCGGGCTTCCATGAGTTTACGCTCGTACTCTTCAATATTTCTTCGCTCATGAAGCTCATCTAGATATGTTTTCTCCCATGGTGTGAGCTCTCTTTCCAAACCTTCCAGCATCTCCAGATCTTCCCAACCTAACTCATCTAATGGTGCGTAAGACATTCTTTTTTTTCTTTTTTTTTTTACTCTAAAAAAATTCAAACACAAATTCAAATAAAAAATAAAACAAAGAGAAATTCGGCCCCTCAACAAAAGGTAATAACCTAAATAAAAATCAAACAAAACAAAGGACTAACAAGATGACACTTCTTTTTTTTTAAGACACGAAAAATTGAAAAATTCGAATAAAAATTCAAAAATTTCGAACCAAAAAAGAAAAGAAACTCGGTCCCTCACCAAAAGGCAAACCGAAAAAAAGAAAAAAAGATAGATAGATAAAGAACACGATCAGCACCTCTCAATGAAAGCACCAGTGATGACGGATCGTGTCTTTACTCTATTTCTGGGTTGTGAATAAACGCGCACTAGGGCCTTCGTTTATCCACGATAGGTGTATCTAACAGACGCACTATCGGCCTTCTCCTAGACACAGTGACTTCAAGACGCTCTAATGGCCTTCTCTCCGACACTGTATGTAAACTCGCACTAACGGCCTTGTTTAAACACACGTAAGAACATAAGTTCCCCCTCTATGAGATTCACTCATTAATTCCAAGACTCAACATGTTTATTAATGAAGAGGTACATGGGTATTTATAGGTGCAAAAACAAATCTAAGCCTAACTATACTAGATCTCCTAAATCTTGCAATAATAGAAATCCTAACACTAGAAAGCAATAAAATCCTATTACTACCAAATAACTAATGCTTGGCTTGCACACCAAGCAATTCTAGAATGCTCCCAATCTTTCGGCCGCCCTATCGCACCGCCTTCCATCCGTGCGCGCCGACCCTCGGCTTTCTTAATTGATGACAGATCGTGTTGTTATCTATACGTGGGTTGTGAATAAACGTGCACTCAGGGCCTTCGTTTATCC